AGGCCAGCGCAGAGATATAGTCCTTCCAGCGTGTCCTGGGCCTTCCACGAGGCCTCCTCCCAAAAAGAGAACACCTCCCAAGGGAAGTAGACCAGGAGGCAACAGATGCCCAAACCACCTCAGGTGGCTCCTTTCGATGTGGAGGAGCAACAACTCTACTCCGAGCTCCTCCTGGGTAAATGAGCTCATCACCCAATCTCGAAGAGTGCGCCCAACCATCCTGACACCATGGGTATTTATTTAGATGGATATTTATATATATAGTTATTATGCTGGGTGTTAAACATAGCCTGGTTCTGCTAGAGGTTTTCGTCCTGTTAAAAGGGATCAATTTGACAGGATGATCTGGTGAACTGTAAAGTTCTTGGCACTATAGAAATAAACTGAATTGAATTGACTTGAATATAGAGAAACAGGCAATTTTTTTTTTTTTTTTGAGTCTTGAAAATCAAAATTGAAAAGGTCTCCTATGTCACCTATAAGTTTTATACTTAAGAAGATATCTGATCTTTAATCATAGGCCCTGCTTAGCTTAATGTGAGAATATGTTCAGCTCTGTGATGCCAGCTTGACTTTTGGAAGCTCACGTGTGAGATCATTGCCAACCAGGTGATTTATGAATAGCCAGAGGTAGCTTAGGTTTCTTTTTTCCACCAAACAACTTCCAGACTGAAACTAATGTCAGTATTGCCGTATTGCTGTACCCAACTCCAACCCCTTGTCTCTTGTCTGTTTTTGCTCTCCGGACATAGAGCTTCTGACTGTTAGCTGCAGACCCTTTTACCTGCCCAGAGAGTTCACTGTTGTTACCATCACAGCGGTGTATGTCCCCCCCAGCGCTGATACAAAGGAGGCCATGAGTGTTCTCTATCGGACTGTCTCTGAGCTGCAATCTACACACACAGAGGGCGTTTTCATCATTGCTGGAGATTTTAATCAGGCGAATATGAAAACTGTTCTCCCTCATTTTTATCAACACGTGGATTTTGCTACTCGTGGAGAGAACACTCTGGACTTAGTTTATACAAACATAAAAGACGCATTCAGAGCAGCCCCCCGCCCCCACATCGGCTCCTCAGACCACCTTTCTGTGATGCTAATTCCTGCATACAGACCCCTGCTGATCAGAGCAAAACCTACAGTGAAGCAGGTGAGGGTCTGGACGGAGGGGGCCATGGATGCACTCCAGGACTGCTTTGAATGCTCTGAATGGGACATGTTCAAATCAGCAGCAACATATGACAACAAGATCAATGTTGATGAGTACGCCATGACTGTTTCAGCCTACATCAACCACTGCATCGAGGACGTCAGCACAACAAAGACCATCACCACCCGAGCCAACCAACGGCCCTGGATGACTGAGGAGGTCCGCCACGCGCTAAAAGCACGGAACTCAGCCTTCAAGTCTGGTGACAAGGAGGCACTGAGGACAGCTAGAGCCACCCTGAACCGTGCCATCAGGTTAGCAAAGCGGAACCATAACCAGAAAATCCAGCATCTGTTCCACGACGCCAACAACACCAGGAGCATGTGGCAAGGCATACGGGCGATCACAGACTACAACACGCCCCCTGCCCCGGTGGATGAAGTTGATGCTGACTTCCTAAACGGACTAAATAACTTCTTTGGGAGGTTTGAGGCACTAAATCGCACTCCAGCAGTGAAGGCTGTCCCACATCAGGAAGAGGAGGTTCTCTGCCTTGACACAGCCGACGTGTGGAAGACTCTGAGGAGGGTCAACCCGCGGAAGGCCCCAGGTCCCGACAACATACCTGGGCGGGTGCTCAAGGAGTGTGCAGGTCAGCTAGCTGGTGTCCTCACGGACATTTTTAACACCTCGCTGGAGCAAGCCACAGTGCCAGCATGCTTCAAGTCTGCCTCCATCATCCCAGTGCCAAAGAAACCTCAAGTCACCTGCTACAACGACTACCGGCCCGTCGCACTGACTCCCATCATGATGAAGTGCTTTGAAAGGCTGGTAAAGGAACACATCGTCTCCAGTCTCCCCCCAACACTCGACCCGTTCCAGTTTGCCTACCGGCGAAACCGCTCCACTGAGGACGCCATCTCCTCTGCTCTTCACCTGAGCCTGGCCCACCTGGAGGAGAAGAACACCCACGTGCGGATGCTGTTCCTGGACTTCAGTTCAGCGTTTAACACCATCATCCCACAGCACCTGGTGGGAAAGCTGGAACATCTGGGCTTCAACACACCCCTTCGAAACTGGCTGCTGGACTTCCTCACCAACAGACCTCAGTCAGTCCGGGTCGGTCAGAACACCTCTGATGTCATCACCCTCAGCACGGGCTCCCCTCAGGGCTGCGTCCTGAGCCCCCTGCTGTTCACCCTGATGACATATGACTGCGTCCCCAGGTTCACCACCAATCACATCGTGAAGTTTGCGGACGACACCACGGTGGTGGGCCTCATCAGGGACGACAACGACCGGGACTACAGAGAGGAGGTGGAGCAGCTGGTGGACTGGTGCAGTGAAAACAGTCTGATCCTGAACGTGGAGAAGACGAAGGAGATCATCGTCGACTTCAGGAAAAACCGCCCCCACCATGCTCCACTGCTCATCAACAGCTCAGCTGTGGAGGTGGTCAGCAGCACAAAGTTCCTGGGGGTGCACATCACGGACAACCTCACCTGGACTGTAAACACTTCATCTCTAGTGAAGAGGGCACAGAAGCGCTTGTACTTTCTGCGGAGGATGAGGAGAGCCCGCCTGCCCCCGCCCATCCTCACAACCTTCTACAGAAGCACCATAGAGAGCGTTCTGACCAGCTGTCTCTCTCTGTGGTGTGGAGGCTGCAGAGCTTCTGACTGGAAGAATGTGAGGAGGGTGGTGAGGACAGCGGAAGGAATCATTGGGGCTCCTCTTCCCTCCATTAAGGACATTTCATCACAGCGCTGTGTGTCCCGAGCCCGTAATATCATCAAAGACCCCTCACACCCCCACCATGGACTGTTCTCCCTGCTGCCCTCTGGAAAGAGGTTCCGCAGCATCCGCTGCAGATCCACCAGGTTGTGCAACAGCTTCTTCCCCACTGCCATCAGACTGTTGAACCTTTGATCCACAATCCGAACTCTGCACCTATTGCACATTATCGGGCATCAAATGCTGCTGAACTTTTAACTTTTAGCCCTTTAAATTGTTCATCTCATTGTATTTTTCAATAACGCATTTTTTGCACAAATGCCATTTTGCACTGAACCACTGCAACTTGCACACTGTCTCTTATCCTCTGCACTGTTCACACTTTGACCACTGCTGCACTTTTTGTATTTTTCTATAACTCGTGCCATTGTGAAATATCAATGCAACGTTCATAAGCTGTATGTAACGCAATTTCGTTCTGTATGCACCCTGTGCATACAAAATGACAAATAAAGAAGTCTAAGTCTAAGTCTAAGTCAACGCTAAAAGGTTTGGCTCTGACAGAGTGCTTCTTTCATACCAAAATCACAAGCACCAGGGGAAAAACTAAGTCTTGTCAAAAGCTGTAATTCATCAAAAGGTTTTAGGCATTATGCTTGAAAGTTCTGAGTTAGATTTGTTTTTGACCTGCCTACGTAAGTGAAGACCAAACAAAAAAAAAAGGAAAAAAGAAGAAAGGTTTGAGAGTGTTAAAGGTTATTTGGCATCAGAGTAGGAAAAGCTCAACGTGGTATTGCAGCTATTAATTTACTGCAATTTACTGCGATACCACCTGCAGAGTGGCCAACGTATAATGCTCCATTTAGTCGAAAGAGAGGGTCTCATCTTTTTTTAAGAGCTGTGCCATGAAATAGACTTCTGTGGTTCTGGAAATATTTTGCATTTTATTCCACTGCCAATAAAAAAAAAAAAAAGAATCTAAAGCAAATTGTGTATTTTTCTAAAAACATAAATCGTAACTAAGACCCCTGCAAATTGTGCACACTGTGATGGAAGAAAATAATAGATGCAGGAGATTGTTTTGCACAGAGACAATTCTTTAAAATAACATTTCCGATCCCCTAAATTGTCTGGTGAAAACAGTTTGTATAATTTTATTTTGTGGAAACCATTTGCAGTCCTGCCTGGTCAAAGAACATTATCTGGCAAGCTGACATAAAAGTTATTTATATGATTTTTTTGTATTTTTACTGCTTTCTTTATGTACAATTTACTTCTACACTGCAAAAAATGTAAATCTAATTAAGTCTTAATCTATATAAGTGCATTTTTTCTTGAATTGAGGGGGTAAGTGAGACATTTTGCCAATGAAACGAGACTATTTACACTTAAAAAAAGAAAAAAACTGCATTGTCTTATTTCAAGTGCATATTATTTAATTAACTTATTCTAAGAGTAAAAATACTCATTCCATTGGCAAAAGATCTTATTTTCCTGCTTTAAATTAAGAGTAAATTCACTTAATTTAAGACATTTTCACTTAATTCTTGATCATTTTTGCAGTGTATCCTATTCAAGTTTGTGTATTTCCTTTAAAAGATAAAAAAAAAAACAATATCTTTAGAAGATTTGCTAAACCTTTTAACACCAGCATCTTGACTCTCTATTGAGGACTTCCCGCATTAAAAGAATGGCTTAACACTCATTCTGGGAATAAAATATAGTGTGGGCAATACCCCTAATTTAGAGTACACTGCAAAAAATATAAATCCAAATAAGTCATTTTTTCTTAAATTAAGTGCATTTTTTCTTGAATTGAGGATGTAAGTGATACACTTTGCCAATGGAACAAGACAATTTACATTTGAAATAACAAAAAAACTATTGCATAGTCTTATTTCAAGTGCATATTTTCTAATTATCTTATTTTAAGTGTAAAAATACTCATTCCATTGGGAAACTATCTTATTTACCTACTCAAATTAATGTTCAATATACTTGAGTTAAGAAAGTTTTACTTAATTTCAGATCGTTTTTGCAGTGTATTATTTATTTTTTATTATTTGGCCCATAAGCAACACAGACTTTTTTTTCCATGAATGTAAATGTGACTTACCAAATCCAAACGCAGCTGGGGCAGGAATGGGAGCAGACTGGACTGGTGTGGACGTGTAGAGGCCAGTCACCAGCAGACCATCAAAGGGAACACTAGTAGAAATGGTAACTGACGAGACATAAAAGAAGAAGACTTTTAGTACACCTGAAATTAAGCTTTAACTTATTGTATATCATATCATCCACTGTAATTACTACAGTTGCGTACCTACTGTAACTGAGACACATAGATATGAACTCTTAATTAAGAGTTAAATGCTTCACATTTACACGCCATTTAGCAGCTTTTGCAACAAAATGTGTGTCTGACTGTGTGTTAAAATCAGAGCATAATATTGTATTACTAATTAGCACAACCACCACTGCCCATGTGAAGTGGAATGGATAAACACCAAACAGGATTTAATCTTTTACATTATGACCTCCGCACTCATGGGGAAAACTGTTGACTTGACAATTATCTCTGAGGCTGTAATCTACATCCTTTACAAGAAGGGTAAGCTTTAAAATGTCAGCGCTAAAAATTCAAAGAGTTCTGTACACATAATGATGAAAAGTTAAGAGGGAGAAGAAAACATTTGTGGAAAAGATGCACAAGCATCAGGGACAACAACAACTTTTATAGGATTGAGAGGCAAAATTCTTTTAAGATTTTCGTGGGACTCAGCAATACATGAGCAACAGCTGGTGTAAGAGCTGCAGGAGCAACAGTAGAGATGGAGGAAGGACATGGGCTGCAAACACATTCCTTGTTTTAAAGGAGAATTCCGGTTTTTTACACTTTTAGCCCATTTTCTGTAGTGTCCAGGATGAAATCGAATGATCGACACCAAAATTTTGACAATTGGTCCTGTCTCTGCTTTTTGGCTCATGCAGAATCCCCCCCCTGGCTGCTTCAGAATGGCTTCCATTGTGCATGTCCGATAATGTCCTTAAAACAACCTTAAACTTTCTTTTTTTAAAATATGCTACTCACCGGGTCGTCAGCGCTGTTCAATGACGTTCCAAAAAAAGTTTTGTGAAGAAAAACCGTTCCTGTCTTGTTTTATTTTGCATTTTGTAAATCCCAGAACTATTTTTTCCGATACATCACAACCGCTTATAAACTTCCGCTTCCCGTTCGAAACTGAAGCGTTGCACACTCCAGACCACTAGTTGGCGACAATGTTTATACCGTCAAATTCAAAGTCCAATATGTCCTCCTCAAGAATCCACCTTTCGTATTCCATTTTCAGAGTTTTTTTAAGTGTTTAACAGAGACGTTAGCACCTCGACGTCAGAGTACACAGAGTGAAGCAGAAACACTTGGGCCTTGCGAAAAGACTACAACTAAGCGTGAACAGGCCCCCTTTCCGTTTCCGGTGGCGGAGGGATATTGACTATTCCAACAGAACTCAATGGGATTTACAAAATGCTAAATAAAACACTACAGGAATGTTTTTTCTTTACGAAACTTGTTTTTGAACGTCATTGAACAGCGTTGACGACTCGGTGAGTAGCATATTTTAAAAAAAGAAAGTTTAAGGTTGTTTTAAGGACATTATCGGACATGCACAATGGAAGCCATTCTGAAGCAGCCAGGGGGGGATTCTGCATGAGCCAAATAGCAGAGACAGGACCAATTGTCAAAATTTTGGTGTCGATCATTCGATTTCATCCTGGACACAACAGAAAATGGGCTAAAAGTGTTAAAAACCGGAATTCTCCTTTAAGCTACACTACGAGGCAGAATGATCCTAGCAGCCTCTTACCTGAGCTATATAGAAAAAGAACAGGTTTGTGGATCATTGTTTGAGCAACTTCAGGTTCCTTAAAATCTTAGAATTGTCACCCCCTGAATGTCTCATGCAATTTATCATAAATGAGGTAATACATACAAAATTATCCTGGACCAGATGGCCTATATTTTCTGGCCTTAACATCTGACCTAATTAGACTTTCATTGCTTAACAGTAATTTATTTTGTTTGTGCATTTTGTTTTAAACCAGTCACAAAATCTATCATTTATAAATGCATGTTGTATTCACTGGAAAAATGATCTAGAAATAAGTAAAAACTTCTTAAATTAAGTGTTTTTACCCTTAATTAGAGTAGGTAAATGCAATAGTTTGCCAATGGAATTAGTAGTTTTACTCTTAAAATAAGATAATTAGATAATGTGCACTTAAAATAAGACAATGCAATTGTGTTTTCTTATTTTAAGTGTAAATTCTCTTGGTCTATTGGCAAAATGTCTCTTTTACCTCCTAAATCTAAGCAAAAATGCACTTATTTTAGGAAAAAATAACTTTTCTAGATTTTGATTTTTTCCAGTGTTTACAGTCAGTCCTTACTGGTCTCCTTTCAGATGAAGTCTTATATTTCGTTTGGAAATCAGGAACCCAGAAACTGATGGAAGAGTGTAAGAATCTAAATTTAGCAAACAATCCAAGTTATTTGAGGTTTTGAGTGAAGTTTCCACAGTCATGATGTGGGGAGCCACGTCATCTACTGGTGTTTGGTCTATGCTGGTTGCATTAAGTCCAAAATCAGTGTATCTGTCTATTTGGGATTGTTAGAGAACTTTGTGCACTTTTCTCTGTGAATGTATATTATTTTATTATTGAGGTTGTGTAATATTTATATTTCCTGAAAAAAAAGCTGATGCTTACAGCTTTCCATTTTAGCTATAAGACATAGTCAACAAACTTAACAGAAATATTTGCTAAAATCGCACTTTTTTCTGTCACTTTTGAGCTAAAATACAGGAAAAACTATGATTAACTTGGATGAATAAAACTAGTCATTCATTACAGTATCTGGGTTTGACTGGAACAGGATTAGAGCCTAAATGTCTCACTTGCAAAAGCTTTAACCAACATAAATGAGCCCAGTTTTAACAAGGCTTGTTCTTATTGACAGAAACATTAGAGAAAACGTATGAGCTAATTGGCTGTAACCCTGATAGCTTTGCAAAGTCCCCTCTCATCACAGGTTGTACAGCTGGAAACTGGCAGAGGTCTAGTGTTTATCGACAGTGTAGTGTATCCAGTAGTATGTTAGCTATTGATTTGTCTGGCAAGAAAACAGCCTAGAGTGACAGGCCCACAGAGCCAGCTTTAACACTGGTAAAACAGGAAGATCGGCTCTGGACTGTTTCCAGTCAGACACTACAGAGCACAAGGAAACGGTCTTCCAGTTCAGAGGAGAAGACGCTCCCCCTCCAAAAAAAACGGAGGAATTAAACACTTTGTTGCAATGAAAAATGGAGGACTTGTTATTTCCTCCACTGCTTAAGAAGTAGGAGACACTTCTCAGCGTTGATGTGTTTCTCATAAGGATAGAAATATGTTCAGTTCTGTCCCAGGGCGTTCATTCGTCTGGGCTCGGGGTGTTTTCATCTGGGCAGAGCAGACTCCTGTGTGGCCCCATTTGACTGCCTGCCCGTCTGACTGGGTGACTCCCCTTAACATGTCCTCACACAAGGCGGCCAGCACTCAAGCATGTGTGTGTTTGAATGTGTGTGTTCTCCATGATTCTGTGTACATTGGATGTCTGGCGAGCACGGTTCAGAACTTCTCCCCATCTCCCAGGCTCTCATCCATATCAAAGCTTCAATAATTAATCCCATAACATTTTTTTATTGCATCCAGACATTTCCTGCTCTACTCTCCTGTCACAGTTCTTAACGGACACAAAGCTATACCTGTTTTAGCTACACTTTCCTCTTTCTTTAAATAAAGTTAAGCATTAGATTTAGTTCAAGCATAAAGTATTGCTAAAGCATGAAATTCCCTTCAACCAACTGTAAAGGTTAACATATTTGAAAGAAACAAACAACTGTCAGGACTCCTGTCTCTGTGTTTGTTTTTTGCGTTTTTCTCCCTTCCACCAGCAGGAGGCGCCTGGTTCTGGTACGCCTCCTCACACACCTGCTGTTGGTTACCTCATTAACGGAGTGCTCTTAAGCTGCTGGTTGCCACTACCTCAACGCCAGAGTGTTTGCCAGTTTTTGGTACTCTAGCCAAGCTGAGTTTTCTCTGAGTAAGACTGAGTTCTTGTCTCCCTGAGTTTTAACTTTATTTTTGTCTTTGCCTCTTGGCAGGAAGTCATCCTGCAAACTGGACCTTTTCAGACCTCAACTCCCAGGAGGGATCAACTGAGTCTTAAACTGAGCCAGGGATTCAAACAGGAGGTTTGGATCCAGTCTCCTTTGAGGACGTTGAAATAACTCTCTGAGTAAGGGAATCATCTTCACCATGACCCGTTCAAGTACAGCAGGAAATCTGAATGGCAATCAGCGTCTCCGTTCCTCTACACCGTCCGAGTTCTGGGTAAACCCTGTTCCGCCCTCCACCGAGTCAGACAAACACTGAAAACCAACACACAGATTGGAGTCAAGGATCCTTCACTTCTCTGGAAACGTGAATCAACAACCAGATCATCTGTTTCAAATCAAATTTCCCACTGCGCCAGAACTAATAGTCTGTCTTCCCCTCATCTTCCAGTTCCGGTCGGGCAGAGTTCAGAGAAACTCTGCACCAAGCTTAACTTCTTCAGTAAAACCCGTCAAACTTTTCATCCGTGTCTCTCTGTTTGGTTTCACTGCATGTGGGTCCGAGCCTTAGATAAAATCATAACAACATTTAATTTCTTTAAAATAATTTCCTGTCTGTTTCTGTCTCCTTGAACCCCAGTCGGCCGTGTGAGTGATTGCCTTCGAATCAATAAGTCGATGCCATCAACTGGTTTGCCTCAGATCGAAAACTTTTAATCAATTTGACTTTATGATCTGGTTGAATTGTAAAGTGCCTCGAGATGATGTGTTGTGAATTGGTGCTATAGAAATAAACTGAATTTAATTTAATTTTTTTTGTGCAAATCAGAATATAAAAAAACTATCTTGATTAATTGTTTCAGAGTATGCTACCACTAAATAGAACATCAAAAGACTGAAATCTGTTTTTCTATTCCAGCTGGAACGGAGTGGCGCAGTGGGTAGCACTGCTTCCTTGCAGCAAGAAGGTTCCGGGACTGATTCCCGGCCAGGGGCCTTTCTGCATAGAGTTTGCATCTTCTCCCTATGCATGTGTGGGTTCTCTCCAGGTACTCTGGCTTCTTCCTACAGTCCAAAAGCATGACTTGGCTTTTCTAAATTCTCTTTAAGAGAATTTGTGAGTGTGTGCCGGACTGGTTGTTTGTCCTGTTTGTCTCTGTGTTGCCCTGCGATGGACTGGCGACCTGTCCAGGGTGTACCCCGCCTCTCGCCCGTAGGCACCAGTACGCCTCGCGACCCCTCTTGGGATAAGCGTGACAGAAAATTGATGGATGGATGGTTTATATAAAACATTTCTATGTTCATATTAGAATGGCCAAGTCAAAGCCCACTCCCCCAAAAATATCTACAGATTTTACATAGTTATTTGTACAACAAAAACACATTAAAGCCCCATAAAACACTTTGATATTAGATTCATTTGGAAGGCAATTCAAAGGGCTGTACAAGAACAAAAGACTCACTCTAGGAAAATAAAGGTGGCATAAATGTTGATTAAATTAATCGCTAAAATGAAATAATGATTATAATACAATTTATGATAAATGTAATAATATGAAAAGGACAGGAAAGGATAGCTGGACTGGAAACTTGATGTTACGACAGAATATCAATTGTAAACAACTCATGCTATGTTCACACCGGACGTGATTTCAGCAGCAAAAAAGCATCTGCTGCATTTTTTATGTTTGTCAACATTAAAAATCAGACGCGCCTCAAGAGCATTTTGATGCTCCTGAAATGTGTTCAGTAAAGTGCATCCAGATGCGCCTGATGCTTCTGCTGCTCCTGTGATCAATAGCAGAGAATGACTTTGCTATATTTACTGTAATCAGTGGGTAAAAAATAGTTTTAATATATTTTTAAGTGAGAAAATCCAGCAGAAAACATCATCTGTGCAGTTAGTTTATCCAGATTACCATCCTGCCTTCAAATATTATTTCTCTGTGGGAGCCGCTCAGACTGGGAATCCCCAGCAGCAGCTGCCTCAGGCCCGGTCGCCTCATGGGGTTTTCCCCTACTGTTGGCGGCAGCTAAAAGTAGATGTTATGCTGCGTTCACACCGGGGGCAGCTGGCGCGACAGAAGCAGCGAGTTTACATGCAAAGTCAATGGTTGACGCGCGTCAAGGCGCAGCAAAAAGTCCCGCGGCGCGTTTCGAGCAGCAAGCGCAGCGCGTCTGAGCAGCTGAAGCAGCGCGTCGGGCGCGTTTTGGCATCTGACGCGCGTGACGCGCCGCAAACGCGCTGCTGCTCGAGATGGAAAAATTTAATTTTTGCTGCTCGACGCGCCGCGTCAACCAATCAGAGAAGCTGATCTGGGAGCTGGCTGGGAGAGAGACACAGCGCTGATGACACAGACTGCTCTGATCACTTCTCTTAAACAGTTTATTAAAGCATAATTAACTTAAAATATATACATCTGCCGGCAGAATATGTTCGCTTTTATTATTCTGGTGCCTGCAGATCGGATTATTTAGATGAAAAACACCTACCAGCCACCGCGGTAAACCGCGAGGAGGCGACCCGGCCAGAGGCTGCTGATGAATGGATTCCTTCTGTCGGCGCACCGCCGGTATGTGGGGGTCTGAGCGGCTCCGACAGAAATAACATTGGGAGGCAGGATTGTAATCTGGATGAACTGACTCCACTGATGAAGTTTTCAGGTGTATTTTCTCACTTAAAAACATATTAAAACTACTTTATTCCCACTGATCACAGCAAATATAGCTGCAAGGCAGAGAAAGGATAGTGAAGCTCCGCCCAACGCGCGTCAGACCCACTTTTGGACCGCGCAGCGAGAGCAGCAAAGCTGCTTCAGACGCGCGTCAGAATTCACTGGTACAAGCAGCAAAAATGAAGCAGCAGACGCGATTTTGCTGCTTTTGCTGCCCCCGGTGTGAACGCAGCATAAGTGTTTTTCAGGTATGTGGATCAAACTGCAGGCACCACGATAATAAAAGCGAACATATTTTGACGTAAGGTTTGTCACTTTAAGTTCATTTAGGCATTGATAAACTGTTACAGGTTATCATAGTGCTTTGCATCTGTCTCCCTACCAGCTCACAGATCATCTTCTCTGATTGATGTGGTGCGTCAAGCAGCAAAATTTCTATTTTTCCAGCTCCAGCATCTGCTGCTTGTGAAGCACGTCATGCCCCTCAGATGCTCTAAAAGCTGCAGGAGCTTTTAATGCGACTTGATGCGCATCAAACTATAGACTTTGCATTTAAAGCTGCTGCTTCTGATGTCCAAAGCACGTCTGTGTGAACGTAGCATTAGGTTTTCAGCACTTCAAAAGTTTACCTTACATATTTTCCAGGTAAAGCATAAAAACTAAAAGCTGCGTTTCAATGTTTTGTCCTGGTGGAGGTATCTTCCTGTTAAAAGGGAGTTTTTCCTCTCCACTGTCGCTACAAGCATGCTTAGTGTGAGAGATTGTATTTGAGTCAATGCAATCAACTGGTTTTCCTTAGATAGAAAACTTTGTACCAATTTGACTGGATGATCTGGTTGAACTGTAAAGTGCCTTGAGATGAGTTTTGTTGTGAATTTGGCGCTATATAAATAAACTGAATTGAATTGAATTGAATTGGTTCCGGCTACGTGAAGTAGATTTAAGTCAGA